TAAAGGCGCTGATTATCAGAATATGATTTATTTCAGTTTCTGGCACTATAGGATAAGACTACGGTAGTCATACTGTACGAACCCAACAGCATGGGTTTTTTTTCTTGGAAAATTGTGTTTCGGTTTTATTTCACGTGCTGATCACGATTACAATGTCTATTTTGTTCACTACTTTCCCACAGTGGGACTACAGCAGCAGTACGGTAGAATTCTCGTAAAAATCAAGAAACTGAAGTAAGAAAGCGGTGTTAGAACTTGATACTATCATTTTCGAAATCAGCATGTTAGAAAACCTATACATGTAAAGTTTGAGCTTCCTAGGATGAACAATGCAAATAATCAGTAAAATCAATAAAGTCAATAACTTTTTGATGGCCTAACATCAGTCTTGTGCCCAGAGGTGCGATAGGTGGAGCCGGGCCCCCCAAAAGTGAAGGTGGTTCCAGCTACCACTGGCCGGTCAAAAGTGAAGGTGGTAGTGCCGGACACTCACCTCCCAAAAATGTCGACCGGGGGGGGGGGGGGTCGCAGCTACCACAGGGCAGCAAAAATGAAGGTGGTAGTGCCGGACACTCACCTCTCAAAAACGTTGACCGGTGGTGGGGGTAGAGAGGGGGGGGGGGCACAGGACGGACTTTAAACTGGGTTTTTTGGGTTTTTTTTTGGTTTGGGTTTTTTTTCAGACTTTTGGGTATTGATTTTTTTGCTGAAACTGAAAAAAAGGAAATTAAGCAAAACGAACGCAAAAGAAAGTATTGAGAGCATATTCTATGTAGTTTATTTTTAGGAAATCGCCGTCGCCTTCTGCGAGAACTGGAGGTCATCACCGGCATGGACGCATATACGCCTCAGCACTTTCTACGATAGAGCAAAGCTTCATGATGACTTCGGACAACTGAAGGGCTCTAACCCAACGGTCCTCTTTAGGGCTAATAACTGCGACCCAACGGCCCTCTTTAGGGCCACAGATACGATGAACACAGCGGCATAAATATTCGAAATAAACGTGTCAATGAAATGGTGTATTTTGAAGTGAAACTCAACGACACTCTACAGATTTTATTAAGTAAATTCAGTTATGTCGTACTGCGAAGAAAGTAGGTCGATCCAGGAAGTATTTGCCGAGAACCAGAATTTTGAATGAAAAAATAACCAGAAATCATGCAAAATTGCCACTGTTATAAACCAAGTGGTTGAAGATGTCAGCAACTGCGACTTCATAGGTTTTAAAGGGTAAGTGTTGCTCTAACAGATAGTGAAAGAATCGGGTCGATTTGAGCAGTGGTCGCTGAGAACGAGAATTTTGAAAAATTAGGCGATTTTAGGCTAATTTTTGACTGCTGACATTTGAACTCCTAAAACTCTTGATTGTGAAGATGTGTGATGTTGCGACTTCATAGGTTTTCTAGGGTAAGGTTTGCCCTACTAGAATATATCTTACCCGTACCAATTCATCAAAGCACCGCCGAGATCCAGGCTCTTGAAAAATCAGGTAAAAAACAGCTTTTTGAACTTCAACAGCTCGTAACTTCTCCAGAACTGCATGAATCATGTTGCGACTTCATAGGTTAGATTCCTCTCATCAAGGGCTTTCAGATGATATATGATATATGGGGGTGGGGCCTTCTTCGACGTATGACCGGGGGGGGGAGACTTTTTAGGCCAAAGTCTCCCCTGGCGGCCTCCAGCCAATACATTAAAATGGGCGAGGGGGAGACTTTGGCCTAAAAAGTCTCCCCCCCCCCCCGGTCATACGTCGAAGAAGGCCCCAAACCCCCATATATCATATATCATCTGAAAGCCCTTGATGAGAGGAATCTAACCTATGAAGTCGCAACATGATTCATGCAGTTCTGGAGAAGTTACGAGCTGTTGAAGTTCAAAAAGCTGTTTTTTACCTGCTTTTTCAAGAACCTGGATCTCGGCGGTGCTTTGATGAATTGGTACGGTTAAGATATATTCTAGTAGGGCAAACCTTACCCTAGAAAACCTATGAAGTCGCAACATCACACATCTTCACAATCAAGAGTTTTAGGAGTTCAAATGTCAGCAGTCAAAAATTAGCCTAAAATCGCCTAATTTTTCAAAATTCTCGTTCTCAGCGACCACTGCTCAAATCGACCCGATTCTTTCACTATCTGTTAGAGAAACACTTACCCTTTAAAACCTATGAAGTCGCAGTTGCTGACATCTTCAACCACTTGGTTTATAACAGTGGCAATTTTGCATGATTTCTGGTTATTTTTTCATTCAAAATTCTGGTTCTCGGCAAATACTTCCTGGATCGACCTACTTTCTTCGCAGTACGACATAACTGAATTTACTCAATAAAATCTGTAGAGTGTCGTTGAGTTTCACTTCAAAATACACCATTTCATTGACACGTTTATTTCGAATATTTATGCCGCTGTGTTCATCGTATCTGTGGCCCTAAAAAGGGCCGTTGGGTCAATTGTTGGCCTTAAAGAGGACCGTTTGGTCATAGCTTTTTAAATCGAAATTCGTCCCGAAGCTATCTTCTCCGATTTCGTGGAAAGGCGGAAAAGTGGATGCGTCCATGGCGGTGTTGGCCTTCGCTTCCGATGGGTGACGGCGAGTTCCTAAAACTGCAATACATATGTATATGCCTTCAATAATCCCTTTTGCGTTTGTTTTACTTATTTTCCTTCTTTATATTCAACAAAAAAATTTTCGCAAAAGTGAAGGTGGTCACTCTGTATCAGCTCAAAAGTGAAGGTAGGGGGAGACTTGGCTCCCCCTATCGCACCTCTGCTCGTGCCCTCCCCGTATTTCTTGTGCATGTAGACTTGAATTTCAAAAGCAACACCATTCTGCGAAAAAGTTGAGCTAAAGTCTGTGCCTTATCTCTATCTACGGTATACCTACCGTAACACTACATCACAGTATCCCAAACTCGGACCACTCTAGCTGGAGCTTCGCTAAGTGTCCCCAACTATGTGCCAGAATTTCCATCGTAAATTGGCAAAGCTAGAGCCTCAAGAATCTTACGGCCCACCAGTGGGTCGTATTATCGTGAATGTGTTAATGATCCAAAAGTGAGAGGAGCTTTACGTCATTGCTACTCGGCCTTGTGCGAAAAAATCATGCTTCAGGTGATGCTTCTTTCTTCTGCGAATCTGCATGCTTCATAGCAGACAGTGATGGTGTAACCCTTTAAACCCATAAATTCACACGTTTCTGATGATGTTGTGCAATAGAATGCGGTACGCCAGTAAACTGTTCTGCATTTAGGATATTGCGCAAGACCAGCATTGTCCTTTTCCGTATAGCAAGAGCTATGGAGGAACTGCAGGGACAACAGTTATCTTTCACAACAAGTTTCTATATTTGGGAACGAAGGGAGAGTGGAAAACTTGAGTTATTTATGGACACTACTTCCATGATGCCAGTTGCTTCAAGAGCATCAGAGAACAGCAGCCTATTGTCACGACTTCAATGTAAACCAACCATGACGTTGTTGAATGCAACTTTTCTCCACTGTAACTGAAAAGCGTGAGAGCAAGAAAGCACTTTATCGCAGCACTTTATCAACACCATGATGGCTGCGAAGGCTGAAAGGCATTTCCAACCAATCGCTAAAAACGGTATATAAGCAGCAATGGCTCAATCTTTTCACAAAACATCAGGGTGATGGTGCTAGCTGACGAGCTCAACATTAAATTATTGATAGCATATGTCGGCTGAATTCAATTAGTACCCTATTTTCAGGTGTATAAGCCGCATCCTTTTCACTCTAGAGGCGAACACGCCAAAAGACTGACTGTCATCATGGAGCGCGTTAGGTGAGAGCAGTATGCGATAAGGCGACCGCTTCGCGAGACATATGCGCGGCGGCACGCCTGGGTCTGCTCGCAATTAGAGCAAAAAGGGTGCGGCTTATACCCCTGAAAATAGGGTAGAATTTGTGTACGCCAATATCAAAAAGCTTCGCTTGGCATTGAGCTTTGACGTAAACTGTTCGAAAGCAAGAATTGGAGCGGTCATATTTAGGCTATTCTTAAAATCGTGACGATGACGCGACCGCGCACGACAAGTACTCACCTCCTGGCAAACGTATTTTCTTGGTTTTCACCTTTACTCGGATGGTTCTTCTGCTTACATATGACAGTCTTACATTGGAAAAGCACAGAGCTGAAGTGATGCCTTTTTGTATGAGTCTTTTCTGCTCCCGTGGGCGCAAATACCACAGTCGACCAGTCGGCATGGTTTTATAAGCGACCATACTTTAAATTCAATATTTTCAGTTTGCTCTGTATATTCGTGTTTTTGGACCAAATTAAATATGGGGTGAATATTCCACAAGCATTTTAAAGAACCAACGCGATTTTTCTTTATTTTCCTGACAACCATGTCCTCTTGATAATTATTAGGTTGATGCAAAAATAATGGTCGTTGCATATGTTAGCAAAGCCTATGGATACAAAAATATACGAATAAGTACCATTCGATAGAATGAAGCAAGCTTTAAAAAGTGGCTGCCAAGAATCTGACTACACATTAGGTCTACGTAAAGTGCAGTTGCTGTAATTTTTTTGTCGCCTAGAATTTGAGAAAAAAACGAAAATCGAAATTCTGCAAACTACGCCTCTAACTCCGCCCCTCTCTCCAATTAAGGTATTGTGTACGACAAAGCCTTCGAAGCATGGTTGTGAAATTTCAGCCTGGTATCTGCATTGATAATTGAGAAAATCCCTTTGTCTTTGAGAGGCGGTAGTCCACGGCCATTATTTTTGCATCAACCCAATATAATGGCTACTCAGATGATCCGCGAAACTGTGATCCCCTTGTCTAAGCTTGTCATGCCTAGGCTTTTCAAAGTTTTTATTCATAAAGAAATATAAGTATATCATCTATCGAAAGAGTATCGATAACACAATGATAAGGCCTATATTCTGAGCAAATGACACATGAAAAAGAAAACATCTGGAGAGACTGATTGTCGTGTTTAAAAGGTGCTTTCAATACCACACTAACTTAAATTATGAAGTATTGAAATTCGCTGAGATCTCGGTGAAATTAGGAAACTTGAAACCAAATACTATGAAGTCAAAGTAGTACAGCTGCGTGATCATCCGCAACAGTGTTCTATTCGAGTACAGTAGATTTTCTACATGTCGCCGTAGATCAGTCCCTGAGGTTGTATGAATCGTCTTCCCTACTGCAAAGAAAAACTATTCCAAGGTGAGATCGCTCCACTGACAGTAGTATTACACCATTTGAAACAGCTCAACTTACTTAGCATTTCTTTTTGAATCTCAGACCTATAATAGTCTGGGACACCTGCTAGGCTGAAAATATTGTCAAACTGTGTTGCTATATCTCTTATGCCTTGCGGTCCACTTTCGTACTTAATTATGGTATAATCGTATAGATGCTCTTTGAAGTTACATGACCTGAAAAATTGCAAAAACCGTGAGAGTTTATCGAGTTACTACATTGCAGAAAGACGATTTACCATGTTTGGGGAGCAAAATGAGAAGTTTCCATGTAATTTGTAGCATGAGGATCCCGTATAATGCTGCGAAGCTTACTGAGTAGAGTTTCAACAAAACAGTTGATATTTTGCTCGCAACCAAAACACCGCTCGGGTGGAAGAGGTAGTCGCTTGCTGAAATTGGGTATCTGAGTTCAAATTTCAACCTTAACAAGCAATATTATTTGAAAACATTTATTGCAGCACTTACGGATAGCACTTATCCGCATAGCCACTCAAAAATCTGTCAATAGGATCACGTACGACGGCAAACTTTATGCGCTTTGGGCTTTGCTCAGTAATGGAGGAGCACTTCTCGCGATCGGTACCGGAGGAGCAGAATCTTGAATGTGCGTAAATTATCACCAAGTGCAAATTATTAGTATTATTGATATCTCTGCATAAAGATACATAGTTTTGATGCAAAGAGGTTGGAAGTTTGGAAGGGAAGGATTCACAATCTTGAGAGAAGGAAGGGTGATTAAGTTTGTAATTTCTGTTCATTCCGAAAAATTTTATTTTAAGCTCCAGAGAAGCCATTGACGCTTTGTGCTTTGCTGTTGATACTCATGCCCTTTACCATCATAGCTCTAGTGCCTTTTTATCAAATTTCAATTTGAATTGAATCACATTCATTTCGAATCAATGACTTTCACTCTCGTCAACTTGAACACCTCAGTATGTGCTCTGGCAAGAAAATGAGAAGAGAGATACGAGAGATACCTTTGAAAGATACCAAGTTTAACATTGGAAACTCCGGAAAAATTGGCACTTCTGCATTTTCGAGTTATCTTTATTTATTCAAGCTTCGGAATACATCCAGCAAATGCATTTATGAATACTAATATGTGTCTACTAGATAGCCAAGTTGGAGATTCGTAAAAATTCTCTGCAAGATGATGGTTACAGGGTAATCAAAATATCTTAGTTTTTTTTTACTTAAAACTTTACCTGGATTACGACTTAAATGATTTCCGGTGGTTTTTGTAAGTTTGCTACTCTATTCAATAGTACCCCAAGTTAAGACAAAAACAGTTTGACATGTTTAAAAAAGGAATTTACCTTTGGGATAACTTCGTATTTGATACTAAGTACTATAGACGCAAACAATTTATATTACTAAAAAGTAGTAGCACTGCATGTTTTATAGATATATTAGGTCATTCCGAAAGTAATTTCGCTTTTTTCAAACGGGCGCCACATCTTATGGAACAAAGTTTTCTAAGAGATCTTGGTAGCATTCGAAACAGCATTTCATTTTCTTTCTGATGGTTATGAAATTGCTGCAAAACAATCAATGAGCTCTCAGAAAATAACCAAAATCTGCGACCTATGCTTTTTGAGATAGTCAAGTTTCACAATTTTTTAAAACTTGTATATCAATTCTCAGAAGAAGTTCAAGTGACGATTCGATAGTGCAAACCTCATAGAATACAGAGCATCTTTTTTCTCTTTTCCGTAGCTTGTCATACATTTTTAACAGAATTTTAACTGATGTTACCGATTTCCACACCTAGGCAGCTAAATCCTCGTAGAACATCACACCTTGAGCAGCTCGGGTGTCATTCGATGCAGCTTTTTCTCCTCTTTCTGGTGGATGTTTTTTGTTTCCGATTCGTTTAGTTTTCGGGGATAAAATCATCATAACTCATTTTTTTAGGGAGCCCCAGGCTGTACACAAAAAACTTGAAATTTGATATTTTGAACACGTAAACCCTCACTTTCTTAACAAAATTAATGCTAACTCATAGTACCATCTTGGTAGTCTCAAATTCCGAAAAATTATGATGTTTGATACAGTTGTGGTTGAAGTGGGCCTGCCAAGATTCGGGTTCTGCTAAAAAATCTTTTAAAAAATTACGGCGAGCAAAGAGAAAAGGAAAAAAGTAGCTATGTATTCTATGAGGTTTGCCCTATCGAATCGTTACTTGAACTTCTTCTTAGGATTGATATGAAAGGTTTAAAAAATCGTGAAACTTGACCATCTCAAAAAGCATGAGTCGCAGATCTTGGTTATTTTCTGAAAGCTCATTGACTGTTTTGCAACAATTTCATAACCATTAGAAAGAGAATGAAATGCTGCATCGAATGCTGCTAAGATCTCTTAGAAATCTTTGTTCCTTCAGATGTGGCGCCCGTTTGAAAAAAGCGAAATTACTTTGGGAATGACCTAATAGAAACAACGCAGAAAGAATGGAAAAATCAAAAAGCTGCTTTATTCACTGTAATTTCTAAATTATCCTTTTGAAATCACAACTAGCTTAACCAAAAAAATTTTCGCGGTTCGCCTACACTCTCCTCCCCCCCCCCCGTCATCAACGGAGCGGTAGGCGAAAAAAATCAGCTTTAAAATTACGATTTTTATCGCAGCAAAGTTGATCCGAAAATTACCTAGTGAAGTTTTTGCGTGTAAAAACAGTACTTCTTTCAAAAACAAACTGAAGACATGAAATTGAATGAAATCTTTACACATAACCTTGGTATGACATCCGTTTGGCTTTGATTTTAGCAATATATGAATAAATCTCTGCTGTGATTACCAACCAGCACGGAATGAAGAATTTTGGAATTTCGTCTTCTGGACGCTACTATCTATGATAACTCATATTCCATCATATTTTCGGCATCTATACTGTTTGAATTAGCTGGCATGCGATTGAATTTTTATTTCATGATCATCTGAACTCCATATACCCATTGTGATACTGTGTTGCTTTTCAACACTACTTATATTTCTTACTAATCCATATCTATCTATCATCATGCTGGCTCAGATACATTCAACAACTTCTCTTTTCCACTTGGTACAGCCTGATGACTTGCTTACTCTGATTTAACTAAGAAAATGCGATATTAAGTTGACATTTTCTCGGAGCATTGGACTCTTCCCGGAATCTTTTGGGCAAGATTAATTATTATTCCACAAAGTTGGCCTTGCTTCGCTTACTTCAACAGCATTTTTGCTGGCAAACGTATTACATGGGCATGAGCTCCATACATTAGAGTTTTCTTCCCTGTCGCATATGACTTTGTCATATACTACTACTTTTGCCATTCAATTAGAGTCATTAGACTCTTCCCAGTGCACTGGCTTAGCGATAGCGGATCTACTATCGAAATGTTTACTTGTTGGAATATCTCAGGATCGGGATCGTTTTGCTGGCAAATAATGGGGCATGAGTGCCATCTCCATGATCACATTCATTCAATACTGAACTTGTAGTCATTTAGCAATCACATACAGGCTGTATTGTTGCGTTTACTAATTTATTCCAAAGGATTTGACCTGAACTGCATGATGATCTATTCTTAAGGCTAGTTATATATAACTGTGTGTTTTTTTCGTTTGTAAGGAACGCTAAGAGCGTATTGATTAAACTCGCTTCGGAATAGTGCGCGGCATCTAAAGCATATTTGGAATCAGCGTTTGAAGCTGATTCAAAATACATATGTCCCTTGCCAAAGAGTTGTGCTAAGTTAGCAAGTACGTATGTTTATCGCTTGCTGACTTTCAATTTTTGGCTAGTGTGAAATGAGTTACGCGCACAAAAGTAGTTACAACTCGTTTTACAATCTTTTTATATTTAGGGCAGAAACACGTAAATTTGTGCGTATTATGTATGCTTTTTATAAATTCCTTTATGTGTGGACCGTCTGGAACTTTGCAAACATACGTTCTGGATAGCGGAAAAACATAGGCTGTTTTTTTGTGCACAGGCCCTTTTTATCAAATTATTGATCTGCTTACATACTTCTAACTAGGGCGGATTTCAAATCGCAATGGTGATATTTATATGTAACGAAATGCATATCACCAGAAGCAGCTTGTTGAGCTGATTCCAAATTCAATTTCCGTGTACGTCGAGCTTCTTCTCAAGAAGAATTATGAGGCTGTTTGTAATATCTAGTTAATGTGAATGTAGATATTACAAACATAACCACATCTTTAAGAATCAGCTGCTCAGGGGCACCTACCTGTATTTGGCGAATATGTAGATTAGTTATAATCAGCATACTCACAAGGGAATGATACTTTGTCAAAGTTGCATTTCCATATAAAATTTAGACTGTCTTATATAGCATCAAACGCCTCAGGCGGTTTCTTTATCTGCAAAGCAATTCTGGGAGGAAATTAAGTTTTTCAAACCAGAAACATCAACGTACATCTTATATATAAAGCTGAATGTCTGTTTGTACGTCTGTCTGTCTGTCTGTCTGTCTGTCTGTATGTCTGTCTGTGTGTACGTATGTTCCGAATAGAAAATTCCATTTCTGAACCGATCCGGACCAAACTTGGCACACATACACTTCGGACCCCGGCGCGTGTCATAGGCTATTTTTCGTCATCGATCGATATCGATTTTATCGATTTTTTGCAAAATTTGAGCTACGGGGCTGGGAGTTGGCACAGGGGGGTAAGTGAGCATGGGGATTACAAATACAATATTAGTTTTCGAAACCGTGCATTACATTCATCGATTTTATCGATTTTTTTGCAAAATTTGAGCTACGGGGCTGGGGGTGATCAGCATGCTCGATTACACCCCTCTGCCAAATCCCAGCCCCGTAGCTCAAACTTTGCAAAAAATCGATAAAATCGATAAAAGTAATGCACGGTTTCGAAAACTAATATTGTATTCGTAATCAGCATGCTCGATTACACCCCTCTGCAAACTCCCAGCCCCGTAGCTCAAATTTTGCAAAAAATCGATAAAATCGATGAATGTAATGCACGGTTTCGAAAACTAATATTGTATTCGTAATCAGCATGCTCGATTACACCCCTCTGCCAACTCCCAGCCCCGTAGCTCAAATTTTGCAAAAAATCGATAAAATCGACATTGATCGATAACGAAAAGTGGACTGTGACACCCGCCGGGGCCCGAAGGGTATGTGTGCCAAGTTTGGTCCGGATGGTTAAGAAATGGAATTTTCTATTCGGAACATACGGCGGAGCCGGGTAAGCCAGCTAGTCTGCAATAAAATCATTTAGAACTGTTGTTTATGAGCTCTGATGGGGTCCTGACTATTGTCACTGCGCTCTTAAAACCTCCAGTCTCAAAAACATGCGCTACCTCCAGTCTAAAAAACATGCGCTAGTCATCACTCCTTTCGAACGCCGAAAAGACATCAACAGTTGTTCTCACCTTAAATAAACCTCTGAATTTTTGCCTCGAAAAATTTTCATAACCCCTTTCCCAGAAGCGCTTTGCAGATATTGAATGTAGATTTGGAATTAGCATTTCATGCTCTATATGATATTATAAATTTCTTTTGGAGACTCCACTTTGACCAAGAATCCTTCCATTGTTTTTACCATGCCAATTACGCTCACCTAAGTTGGACTCAAGAGCACATTATGCATTAAAACCGCAAAGACTTCGCACTTTTGACCACACAGCACGGCTTTCAAAAAATAGCTGACCAGACGAGGAAGATAAACGTGAAATCAGCTCATCTAATGCATTTCATGATATGCAGTTCTTTCCAGTCCGCCATTGTGAATTGGGACCCTTCCCTTGTAAGAAAACGAAAGCTTATTAATCATTATTGGATCACTTCCTCGAGTCATGTAAACGCGGACAGTAAGCTTATTTCAACATCAACACCATGAGGATGGGGTGGATCGAAGTGGAATTGTTCCGAAATGAGCTCATGTAGACACAGGGAGGTTCGCGCAATGCAATACCATGGTGGCAATACAGCATCTACCTCATAACCAGTGAACAATGGCCCATGTTGGCCGGGAAGCCAGCTAGCCAGCAAATAAAGTAGACTGAATAAAAAAAATTGAAAACTCAAGCCGCATCTTATGCAGAATTTTCCCGCTTTACAGCTTTCACATTCCACTGTAAATCACTGAGAGAGTGCTGAGATAATCGCTAGAAATTACAACCCACTGTTTTCATCGTGCTCAGAATCGCTAATTTTCAAAATGTTTGTTCGACGTTTGGGGGAGGTAGTAACCAGCAAGTAGGCCAAACCTTTTGCCACTCATAGCAATTTTCTTCCTTTTCCATCTGCACTTTGGAATTTTGCTAAATATTCCAAAAAGCTTGTGTTTTGGGATCTATAACTAGTTATTGCACCAATACTGCAATTTAGAATACCGATGTTTCAAAACTCGATTATTACTTTTGCTGAATTTACAAATCAAATGAATAATTTTAGCTGCAAATTATGAAGATTCTATAACCTACGTTAGTGCGTAAGCGTGATTAAGCAACACACAATTGTCCCCTCAAATTTCGCGTCCTAAGAAAAAATAAGCAAGAAAGAAGAGAAACTGCATCGAATGGTACCTGAACTGTTTGCTATTTTCTGTTTTACGAGATCAAAATAAGCCGAATACATAATTTGGTTTACTTCAAAAGCAGTGGCGGCCGCAGGATTTCAAACCGGGGGGGGGGGCTAAAAAAAGTTTTTGAATGAAGATGCGTGGCGTTAGCCACGCACTCCGAAAAAATTTTTGTGGTGCTTGTCAAATTTTTCGCGGCCCCATAGCCCCCAAAATCAAGAAAAAGTGGGCGTGTCGTCAGCCACGCCCCAGAAAAAAATTTTTTGCAAGGCTACTTTGAATTTCTAGAAAATTTTAAAAATTATTCTAATTATTTACAAGTAAAAACAAGTCACTTGCGCATTTTTATAACCCATATAAATAACTTTCAAAAATTTTGCGACCCGTTCTCGGGGGGGGGGGGGGGTGCTTCAGCTGACAGAAGATTTGCCCTACCTGCTGACTATTAACACATTGACGACCGCTTGACACACATGGTGTGTCAAGCAATGACTACCGCGTGGGACCGCTTGACACACCATGTGTGTCAAGGCTCGGATTTTGTTAAAATGACACTATCTTGGGATAAACTCACTCCACGAGCCTTCTTTTGCACTGAATTTAAAAATGACCTCTACCTTTCTTGTCAGCTTTTCAGACCTATTGTAGGTGTACTGTAGATGGCAATATGCGTATTTGTAGTTGAAAAATGTGGGCTGACCGTGAAAGGTCTTGGTTCCAGAGAGCAGACAATTAAAAATCTGTATGGTCGTCAATGTGTTAAACTACCTCAGAAGTCTCGGACGAAATTTTTGAAAATTTGAAAGTGGGGCGTGATAAAAACAAGGGTTTGTAGTTTCGATTGTCTCAGCACTCCCTCAATGATTTGCAATGTGAATACAGCATCCGGAAAGAGGAAAATTTTCTGCATAGGACAAAGCTTGAAAGGTTTGTTCATCTTTACTGTACGGGGTTAGCGGGTTATTTCAAAAAACTGAGAAAACTTTGCACTGTCTCAGTATAGAGCTTATTCATTTCCTTAAAGAGAAACAACAAAGAAGCGGCACAGCGAAATATGCGGGTGCTACTGTCTACAAGTGTTGTGGAAGGTTGTCTTTGACTGACTTGAACGACTTAAAAAACAAAATTATTTGCCCTTGAAGGTTGAAAGTGGCAAGGGTACCACAGTTTAATTGTCTACTATTGCCGTTGCTCCATCATCTCCATGTATCTGCCTTACAACTTCGTAGCATTTTATCCGAAGAAATGTCGAGACTTTTCATATCAAGAGTCAATGGACAAAAGGGCAAGAGAGTTGTTGACAATCAAGCAGTAAGTACAATTTTTCAGACACCCTGTATCTGATGCATCGATACCTGTTCACAAAGTTTTCCGTACTAATTCTACGATTGTTGGCGACGAATTCGACGGGATTGTGTAAATAACAGAAAATTCCGTCACGAATCGTAGACATGACTTTTTCAATCATACATGTGCACAAGCGATATTTTGGGATATCCTGTAAAGATTTTAGACATCGAAAGACTAGGCCAGTCTGGGTAAGATAAACAATGTGACCACCTGGAAATACTCTCTGTATCTGTGAAATGGTGGAAACAACTTTTTCTTGTTGAAATAAAGTGGATTGAATGCCTCTTTTTCTACAGCCCAGTTATAGCCAAGAATGCTGACGCCTGAATGGTATTGCTTTTGGAAGGTTCAAAACTTTGCTATCTCAGCAATGCCAAGTAACATGGAGTTATGAGAGTCTGAGAAGTTGAACTTACTCATGTTTTTGTGGAATATTGGTCTTGTATTTTTGGCTCTTTTTAGGTGCCACTTATAAAGAAAGATATAAACAATAAGATGAAGCACGAAAACTACGACAATTCCAGCTTTTACCTGCAAATGAGTGTAATTTACGAGAAAAAGAGTTTTATCAACAATCATCACATCTACTTGGTATGGCAAATTAAAGTACTCCTACTTAACGTATCATCACCGACTACTTTTTTTCAAAGCTGTATTTGTAGAGCAAGCAGCAGAGCTTCTCAGCACATCATAGTCAGTTGCACACGCCATTAATTTGCTTTTGTAAGATGCTTCAATAATAATATGCTAGTAAAGCTTGATGACTGTTTCATAACATAATCCCCAGTTGTATATGGGACACATCATAGGTATAAGTCGCTGTAACAGTTAGCCACTTCACTCTCTGTCCATTTGAAAGGGCTATTATTTCAGAAGTGTCGTATGTCCTTTGCGAATCTTGAATGCTCGCATCCTTGTAAAGCCGTTAATCGCAAAGTTGTTTTTGTGAGAAACTTTTCTTGCTTTGCACAATTGTTGTAGGAGTGTTTGAGGGGTTGGTCGCACACATAGCTCTTTCGCCGTTACGCGGCTCTGATGGTTAGCCCAAAAAAGTCACTAAACCTTTATTCCTGATAAACCTAACAAAGATCAATGATCATCATATCAAAGATGAAGTTTCAAGCATATAATTTGTACTCATACTCAACATTTGTTTAAAAGGAATGCTACCACCCCTCTCGTCGCCAGTGGTGACAAATGTATTTATTCATATTCAAAACGGCTGTTGCAGAGTTTGCAAACGACAGAGTCAGATATTTTTATCATCTGCATTGTATTCGTACAAGGAAAAGCAAAAGCTACAATTGAGACTACCAAAGGTTGAATAATATTCGCGATTAGTCTTGTCGGAAAACTATCACAACCAAAATTCATAATAATCGGCACGCAGTGGACTCGTAACATTTGTTTTTGGGAGAATCGCAAGGTGATGAAAAGGCGATGATATGCCCGTCCCATAGCTCCAAATGGTTAAACTGCGATTTGATAGCACAGACACAGTTCGAGACCTGCTAGTGCCTCTTTCACTACCAGCGGTCAATCTTTGATATCGGACGCTATCGAGATTGACCTAGACAGCTATTAGAGTGATCGGTAAAAAATGGGGCAGCTAGAGAATAACTGTAGATTTCTCAAGAAAGAAAAGTGGTTAAACTTCCCAATTCTGAAAGATGTTAGAATAAGTTATTCTCTTTCAGGAAATACCTATATATGGTTACTTACATACGTAATAATTCTTATAGTGGCTGAAATGCAATGTTAGTCACTTTGACAGATTATAAACTTTGGGCAGTATCTGCGCAGTGAAACATGTGAGACCACCCAAAGTACCACTGCTGGAGTTGGTGGGGGACAATCACTAAACTCACGACGGCTTGGTGGCCTCAACTTTCAAAGTCAGAAGATATGGCCATTAGCGGCTTCGAGAACAAAGATACGCGTCACTCAATTCTTTGCAGGTGAACGCATGTTTTCTAGGTTCCATCTGATAGAGCTTTTTACGCTCTATTCATCCATATGCAGATTACCTCAGATTTTATCTATCTTCAGAAAATATGGGGCAAAACATGATTTTTTGGTTTTATTACGCCAAAAAATCGCGATTTTTCAGGGTCGGTAGTAAACCTATCGAAACTCAGAGTTATAACTCAGAGTTAACTCTGAGTTATCTCTGAGCTATCGCGCAACTTTTTGACCCCTTTAACAGGTGTTTGAATAGATCAAATCCGGAAAGCGATTATATGGCAGGATTCTCCTTAACACGTAGTCTATTCCTAGTAGCGCAACATTGTCCAAATCGTCCTGCACAAGAAACAGCGCCACCAAACGCGCAACTAGTGTCTGCGATAACTCTGAGTTTGATGCGTGTTTCAGTTTATCGTGGAACTCAGAGATAACTCTGAGTTTGGTCAGAGAAAGAGAAATAGTGCGCAAAAGAAGAGGGGCAGCTAAAATGTCCTCCGGGGTTCATTTTGCTCGTAGTTTAAGCAGGCATGATGGGGGTATCGTGGTGCGCAGTGATTTACAAAATTTTGAAATTTTGTAAAAACTTGACCCGGGAGTTATTCGGTGCGCTGGTCACGCTTATGGTACCCATTTTTCGCTATGGGGTCATGTAGAGGTGTTACGGTAGGTTTACGGTAGATGGGAGAAAATCACGAAACTGATCGAAACTTGGTACACTGGGGTTATTCGGGGCGCCGATAACGAATATGGCATGTAGATTATACTGCAGTGTCATCTGACGGGGTTACGGTAGGTTTACGGTAGATGAATTAAAGCGGCGGAGTTAGCCGAAATTTGGTACACTGGAGTTATTCGGGATGCAGATTACGGACAATCTATCTGCTACATACACTGGTGACATATGGAACGGTTACGGTAGGTATACGGTAAGTAAGACGAAATCATGGAAGGGCAAACTTTGCCCGGAGGATTTGTTCTGTGCGCAAATCCTAATAGTCTATTCTTATCATTGCGTATGCCATCCGCTTTCTCTATTGTTTGAAGCTTTCAGCTGCGCAAAAGACCAATCCTCGTGATGAACCATCACTGCCCGATAGAAATGGAAATGAGTGAGGATTTGGTATAACTTGTTTTGACTTGCTAAGTGTTAATGGAATGAGTGGAGTACATTATGGCAAAGCAATTTTAGAGTTCATGGGTGTATCATGGTCTAACGGTTTAGTGATAGGATCTTTACGCTAGACCATTCAGGTTCGAGTTCCTACTTTAACGTCGCTTTTGCAGCAAAGTGCTTTACAGCTCCTCAAAGCAAAACTCCGAGCTTGAGAGTTGGAATTCGGAATTACGAAAGCGGAGCTCACAGTTCCAATAAGCGTAACTCAGAGTTTCAAAAACGGAACTCAGAGTTATCTCTGAGTTAACGCGGAGCTTCAAACTCGGAGTTTCGACCAGATTACTACCGACCCAGGTATTTCGCTTTTTTATCCACAAATAGAAAGAAATCCTGTATGTTTAATATAGTGTTCGAAAGAGCATGAAGAGCTCTTTTGAATGGTATGTGATTTGCTTTACGACTTTACGGTATAGCAGCACAAGAATGAGCGATGTTCCAAAAACCCTGTCTGAGTTCTTCACGGCGCCACGCGTACGGATATGAGAAAGGAGCGGTAACGCATTGCCAGAATAATAGGAGAAGGTCGATTATGTAAGCGACGTTTAAATTGCAGCCTGCTTGTTCTGGTGAGAACAAAAAACCTCAAAATGTAATAAAAATCAAGCTGCCCCATTTTGTATCGATCACCCTAATAGAACAAAATATCAACTTAGAGCTTGGCGCAATCACTTTATATTGAGAAAGAAGCATATGTGAGCAGAAACGCTTGGACTTATCACGTGTAGAATAGAAACAAGCTTGCGGGAATACTTAGGCGACAACCGCCGTTTGTCATGATTTATGAGTGCCCTGTGGCCTTGCATGCTATTTCTAATAAACACTTGATCATTCAACACTATGCTGTTTTCCTTCGACAGCTTGATTATGCAAATAAAAATAAAATAGAGCCAAAAATCTCTTTTCCTTGATTTTAAAAAACTCACTTACAACGTTGTTTTTCCTAGCGCTCATGTTGAATTCCATAATGTCTAGCTAAGACTCGAAAGCGACGCAATATCGGAAACGAGTAGATGAACTACACTACACTTCCTGAAATTGCAGAATCTAAAGAAAAAATTATCATAAAGATGGCATACTACAGAAACTATACAAAACTTGAGTTTTATGTGTTTTTGAAATGAACTGAATCGGACTTCATTCATCATCGCACAAAATGGAAATCGAAAAACTCATTAGGAACTATCTACGTCAGCGCAAAATTCACGGAGCACATAATTTTCGAAGCTTCTTTTTGCAATATTGTGATTTCATCCAGAAGCTTGTGAATAAACTTACATATTAGATTTGTCATCAACACAGACGTTTGTTTCCCGATGATATGGCGTGGTGTAGCTGTTGCTAGCAGTTGTAAAAAACACTAAAATGACCTGAAAAGAATGATGAATGGGTGTGCCTTGTATTTTACGTTTAGAGATATTCAGATTTTGACGTGTTGTAATTTGCACCATTTGTAAATCAGATTCATTATCACAGACTGACAAAGTGGCATAACGTTCTGGAGTAATCAAGGCTAATACCGGTGACATTATTGAAAAAGTAAAAAACTGCAAGAAAAACAATGTGGCTAAGTGAAAGTGGTTACATTCTAATTCCACAAAAGCGAGGATCCTGCTTGCGATATAGAAATAAGTTTTCAATTATTTGAGAAGAAAGAACTCGATTTCTTAAAGAATTCATTTGTTTGATGAGAAAAGCAAGTATGTCGTCTCAATAGCTGAAGCATGCTGAAAAGTTGTCACCCAAAGACTAAATGAATCAATCAATATAAAGGACAGAGATGCAACCCTATGACTGTGATTTAAGGTCACTACCCCGGCAAAGAAAAGCCAAAGATTTTATAATCATAGTAGAACATCTTCAACACCAAATCCAGCAAAGTACGATTATCGAACAATTGACGTTCCGTTTTCAGTCGCTCTGGGCTGTCGCGAGTGGTGTGTGGAGTGCGGCCCACTGTAATTGAT